GACCGCAAAGAGGCCGATCTCGGCGCGAAGAAAAGCGTTTCTTGAAGGCGGGGGGCCCCGCCCGTCAGAGACGCTGCCTGTTCTTCTGAGATGCTTTCCTCCACTGTGGCAGTGTGTTTGTTTTTGTGTGTGTGTGTGTGAGGGAGCAGCGGCAGGGCAGGTGCTTTTCACAATGACTCTCTCTTCTCCCGAGAGCGACTTTGCCCTTTCGTGGCGGTGAGCAAACGTGCGGGGGAGGCAACGGGGCAGGGCCCCCCGCATCCGCCGCCGACGACCCGGTGTCATCTTTTGAATCGACCGCATTTGTTCAATATTTGTAACGGGGAGTTCCTCCGGCTGCTAATTGCGCCGTAGCGACGCTCAAAAGGATTTGTCATTCGCTGACGAGTGTGAGGAGGGAACGACTGCGCGCCGCGGCCTCCACGAGAACAAAAGCCCGAAAGCCCGAATCTGACATTGAAATGCGTTTCTTTCAATACGTTTGCGATTGTCGGATTGGTCGGAAAGACGCCAGAAGCGAAAACTCCCGGATGGAGCACTTCCTCGGACCTCCTCCGCCGCCGTTGCCTCGCTGCGGGGGGGGCAACCGTCTCGCTTGCTTCGGATGCCGTTTCCTGGCCCGTCCGGCGCATCGGCCTCCCTTTGCCTCGCTTTTCATCCAGCTCGTTTCCGGCGTGTCGCCAATGTTCTGGGCTTCTGATATTGACTTTTCCAAGAAAATCTAATTCGCAGCCCTCGCATGCACCCACAAAAAAGAAGAAAAAAAACACTGCGGTGATTACTTTGCTCCCCCCCCCCCAAAAAAAAACAAAAAAAAACCTCTCCCCATGAAAACACCGGCACTCTTGACCAAAGCGCTCTCTCGCGGGCACTGCCGAAATATTTTGCTCTCACACATTCCAATGAAACGCTCACACGGCGCCGTTGATTTGGACGCACACCGGCGCGCCACCAAAATGCTCCCCCAAACACCCCAACTTGCATTTCGGCTTCTCATGCGCACGACTCAAATGCTTTCCCTGACCCGCACGCGCACCGAGCGCAGTCATTTTCACTTCCAAAGCTGAAAGTGGGGAGCCGCGACCGAAATGCTCTCCCACACACTCCTAAAATGCTCAAACACACACGCTCCCACGTTTGAACTGTTCTCCCAGCCCGTCGTTTTTTGCTCTTGCGCCGCATACGAGCGAATTTCTCGGGCTGGCGTACGCAGCTCTGCCAAACTCCTCCGATGCTCGCGCGCGGGAGCGACATGGAAATTTGGGCGGGATGGAGGTGGGGTCGCGAGCGAGAGCGTTCCGCTCACGTGAATTTCGGACGATCTCGCCAAAGGCTTCCTCCGCGCTCGTTTGCGCGCCTTTGGACTCTCCGTCCGCCCGGCGGCGTCATCGCGTCTTTTCTTGGAGCGCAAACTCGTTTTATTGTCGTCGTCGTCGTCGTTGTACATAGCTCCAGATGTATCTGCACTATATGGTTGTCGTCGTCGTCGTCTATCTCTCCGAGTGGGTCTTTCTGTGCGCTTGACGGAGAAAAGAAAAAAACAAAGAAAACTCTTGTGAGATTATGCTTTCCAGTTGTTTGTCTCTTAACCTTTTGGCACTTTGAAGAGGATTTTGTCGGTTGCCCGGCTGAGCTTTCGATTCCCCACCGGTTGTGATCTTGGAACATTTTGTACATGTGCTTTGATTGACAGAATTATATCTCAATGTTATTTGCCTCCCGTCTGCGTCCGTCACGTGTCCTCGGCTCTCCTTCGGCGCGCTCGGCGTCGCCTTTGCGTTCACGCGCGCGCCGGCCGGCGCTTGGGCCCGAATTTGTGAACAAAGTCAGCCCGGGGCAGCTTTTGGAAGGCCTCACCGTGACGCCAGCGACCCCGCGATGTGTTCGGAGCCGTTTCCTTCGCCGTTCCGGTGGAAAAATTCTCCCCGCGCGCCATTGTTGCCACGGTTACCTGGGCCAATGAACTCGGCGACTTGACCGATGTCTTCATTTTTCAAGGCAACTCTGAGATGACCAGTGAACATGGTGGCGAAAACGCACATCTCTCTCTCCCCCCCATCTATACCGTGGCTCGCTTTTCAGCAGAACCTTGAGGTCGGCTCCGAATTCCGGCGACCCTTCAGGAATGCGTTCCAAAGACCACCCCCCTCCTCCCCCGCCCCCCACCCCCCACCCTTCCCGCATCCCTCTGTCCTCTCCCTTTCTCCAAAGCGGCTCAGGGTCCCAGCGGGTGGGCGGTGAGGGCCTCCGCTAATTAGGGTCGCTAATTGGGGGTCGGCCGGGCCAGGGACCTCTCCACACCTGCGTGGTCATGTGACATTTGCAGAGGTGCGCAAAGGTCAAGGGTTGGGATGAGTTGGATTGGGAAGGAGGAAAAAAGGGTCCACAAAAATCCACAAGAAAGGGAAGACCTTTTTACAAGGCTTGTAAAACACACACACACACACACACACACAGATAGATAGATCAATAGACAATTATATCCACTATATGTCTACTGAGTGTGTATGTATATATACACATGTGTGTGTGTGTGTGTGTGTGTGTAGATATCTCTATATTGCTATCGAGCCATATATACGTATCTCCATATCTGTATGAGCGCAGCAGGCAGACGAGCGCAGAGAGACCACTCGCAAGGGATTTCAAGCAGCCAGGTCAAAGGTTAATTGCCAGGTGACCTCAGTGGGTGCGGCCAGCTCAGCATTGGCCTCCGGCCAGCCCCGCCCCTCGCGCTGATTTCGGCTTGTTTTGACAGCATTCACGCAAGACTCGGACGGAAGAAAAAAAAAAAAGGACTCCCGCCTGCATTCCTGTGACCCTTCCAGTTTGAGGAAAGGAGGCTGGCTGAATAGAAACCCATTTCCATTCAAATATTTACCAATGCAACTTTCATCCCGTCATTGAAGAGTTGGCCTTTGTCGGGGCTTGCGGCGTCGCGTCGCCGCCGTCGCAACCTTGCGTTTTCCTCGCTGATGAAAATGTTTGAAAAGGGCCACGTTCGGGCCAACGAATCTCGTTTGTCAAGGCCCGGCGCGCGTCGACGCAAAACAGGCATTTAGAGAGAAAATTGGAGCCTGACCCGCGGCGGCCGCCTTTTCCCATTTGTCGGCGCGGCGAACGAGCGCTCGGATTGCGCACGCTGCTTTGGCCCTTCTGCGCGAGGCAATCGGCGGCCTCGGCCCACCCGCCCGCTCTCCTCCTCCTCCTCCTCCAGGACCCCGACCTGCCAATCCGCCCGCTTTCGAGGCCGCTTTTGTGTCCTGACGCGCGCGCGGAGTCTGCCGAAATCTCGCGATGCCGCTTTGCCAAACGCAACTTGCATTTGGGGCCCCGGAAGAGTCCTTTGAATGGGGAAAGACCGATGGCGACGACTTGCGTCCTCAGTTCGAGCGACGAGCCTTTCGCTGGGGTTTCCTTCTTGGGAAACGCACAAAAGGCAGTCGTCAAACGTTTCCTTCAAATGTTGCGTTGCCTTGAATTTTTCAGGTCACCCAAAGGCCCACCTTCCATGTGGACCTACTTTTGGAGGGGGGGTGGAGGGGGTCCCAAATGCAGCGAGCGCCTTTGTCTCGATTCTCAGCTTTTTCTGCGCCCGCCTGAAGCATTCACGGCGGGGGGGCCGATGGAATAAGGGAGACTTGAACGAACAAGCGCGTCCTCGTGCGAGTAAACGCCGGCGTTTCCTTCCACCGGAACGCGTCAAAGAAAACACTCGGCGGTCGCGAACGAAGTCGGAAACCGGTCGTCATCCCGCCGATCGTCCCTCTGTGCCACCCTTTGACCGCATCCTTTTGTTCTTTTCTTTTCGATTTGACGTCTGGCCGTGTTTCCGTGGCAACAGCCGAAGCGGGCAGAAACGCGGAGGGCTTTTATTTTCAGGGCCGGTTCTGTTTTTTTCCGTCTTTGTTTGTTTTGCCGCTGCGGCGAGAGACGCGAAGCGGCAAAGGTCTCCTGCTTCCGAATTCCGAGCGAGCCGCCCACGGTACGGAGGTCGAGATGCTGGCGGAGGTTGGGCCCCGCTCCCGAGTGCCCCACTGAGAGCGCGGCCACCAGCCGCCCGACCTCGGCCCGACGCCGTCAGGCCCGAGAGAGTTGAAGACGATGCAAGTCCCAGATCCCGAGCTAAGTGCGAAGAAGCCTCGCTCGTAGACGACTTTACCATCGTGCAATAAAAATATCGATGGGACGGGGGGGGGGGGCAACAAGGTCACACCATTGTCATCTTCCGGAAGATTTGAATGTGCTGCCTTTCACCCATTACGTCGCAGGTGCAAATTGAGCTTTTACGTGGAAGCGCTTGCATGGCTGAGCCCCTCCCATTTTTTTTTTCTGATTTGATCAAACCTTGAAATGTCAGCGGAGTGGCAGGGAATTGCAAAATTGCCTTCTTCAAAAGAAAAACAAACAAAAACAAAGCCAACTCCTTTCGCCAGACATCATTTGCAGTCCTTGGAGTTCCGATGTGGAATGCGCTCCCCTCCGACGTGAAAGCAATCCACAATGATAAACCTTATAAAATTAAACTGACAACACCTGGGCTGCACTTATGTTGTGTGTGGGGGGGGGGGGGCGAGTGTTTGGGAGGAGGGCGACGGGGAGGTGTTGCATGTTTTCGTCCCTCTGTTTTCATTTCCATTTTCTCACGTGATTCCGTCTTAAATGGTGTTTTTGTTCGTTGAAAAGCCCTTTGAGGGGCGGGCATCGCAAATGAGCAGCGGCCGCAAATGCCGTGCGGCATTGCGGGTCCTCTTTCATTCGGCGATGTCAAGGAAACATGGAATGAAATGAAAGGTCCAGTCTGCTAGCTTGATGCTAACATACGATGGCAAACGCCACAAACAGGGGTGCCAATCTGTGCAATGAAAACATACGCCCCCCCCCTCCCCAAAAGACAAACGCATCCTTCCAGGCTTTCTATTTCTCCTTCATTCAAGCTTCTCGCTTGTCGAGGTCACAGCTGGTTGCCCTCATTAGTACCGGGGGGCGGAGGGGGGGCAGTCCATCACCCGGCTTGCCCCCCCACCACCCTAACAATCAACAATCACCCAAATGGGACAGTAACCTCTAACCTCAACATCTTGGCACCGTTCTTTGCCTAGAAAGAGGCAAAAAAGGCCCAAAAGACTTTGTGGACACACGCCCGCGCACGCCCACACATGCACGCACACAGAGGGCGCTAGAGAGGGCCGAGCAGAAGTGGGCAGCGGGAGGGGGGGCGACGAGGCGGCCTCTCTGTTTTTCAACTGACGTGTGAACAAAAGCTGGCGGAGCGCGGCCCAGGGTGTTTACCGCGCTTGTATCTTTCACCAACAAATCAGCCGCGGCACCCCAAACCACGCACACACAACACACAGCCACCCCCCCCCCCCGCGCTGTCCCCTTTTTCTCGTGAGCGGCCCAACTTCATTGGAAGCCTGGAATGAAGGCCGCGTCCATCTGGGTGCGATCGGCAATTATGGAGCAAAGCTGTCAGCACGCATTAAGGCCTGCGGGGAAGGTGGGCGTGTTCGGGCGGCTTTTATGATGCCGGCGGGCGGGGGCCCACAAAGTCAGACGCTGAAGAAAAAAAAAGCCTCTTTTTCCTTGACTGGGCCCAAGCTATTCAAAGCTAGCTGGCCCCGTGTGGAAAAAAAAAAAAAAACAAGGTGGTTGGGCCACCCTCAACGGCAACAACCCAAATCACCTTTTCTCTTCCTGTGGCAAAGGGTCTTTCTTTCCCGTCGTCTCCGCGTCTCCTTCAACTCGGCGGCCTGTTTAAGGTCCTGCCGTTGCTTTTTTTTTTTTTTCACGCGACCACACTTTGACTCCAAAGTCTTCGTTTGGGCGTTTGAAGACTCGGCCAAGCGGTCTCGCCGGGGTGCTTTGGAGCGCGTCGTCCCGCTTCAGCTGGAGGTCGCAAAGTGACGGCTGAAAATCCTCATTCAGGATTTTCCGGTAAAGGGCCGAATTCACGGTGTGGTCGATCGCAGCGTGTCGTCCGGGCCCTGAAGTAACGAGCGGCCCCCGACCGTGATGCCACCCCCGAGTTTGAGCCTTGCTCTGACTTTCTGTTCTGGCCCCTTAACATTTAGGCCAGGCGCAAGGGGACGCACGCAACTTGTGAAAAGGGGGCACCCGGAACTAGAACGTGGCCCGCTCTGACGGCAAGTTTGACCCCCCCCACGATGGAAGCCATATCCATCAACGCAGGCAGTGATTCCCCGTAGCATTTGGGCTACCACCGGCGTTCTCGGGCCACAAAAGCGCCATCGTTCACTTTTTGCTCCATCGGAATGCCGAAACACAGCGGCGGGCTGAGCCTCCGCCGCCGCCCCCCCTGGCCCCCCTTTTCTCTCAGCTCGCCCTCATTTGCCAACGCCAGGTGTTCAGACTCACAACAAGAGGGGGGGGGGGTGCAGGAGGGGGAGTGAGGAAGCCGCGGCGCAATGGACGCCGAGGTGACTTGGCTGTGGAACGAGACTCTTTGGGACGTGTTGAAAGTCCCCGGCGGGAGAAATCGTCAGCCGTGACCAAGTTGCGCTCGCTCGCACCCAAACGTATTTTCTTACGCTTCACGTGCCGTTTTTCTGGTCGTCCGTAACTGTGCCGGCCCACTTGACAACTTTCGCACGTCCCGGCGTCCATCGGGGGCCATTTTTGCGTCGTGGTCCGTGTGCGAGCGTCTCGGTTCGATCCGGGGGGGTGGGGGGAGGCGATCGATCGCTGTCGTTTTTTTGCGTGTTTCTCCTCAAAGGAGACCGCGCGCCCGTGCGCCGTTGCCGGATCCGATCCGGGAGGGCTGGTGTGCAAGAAACTGTGAATTCTGTGTGATGTGTCACTTTGAATCCGGTCCCAGAGAATGTGTGAAAGACTCATTGTGTGAGTGTGTGTGAGGGTAATTGGAGGGGGAAGGCGGGAGGGGCGGCGGGCGGGCCTGGCAGGTCCGGCGAGCTGCTGAAAAACTCTTTTCAGTGGGGAGATGTAGCAGGCGGGGCCGATTTCGAGGACTAATTGGCACTAATTGAATTGGATGTGCTGATCAGATGGGAGACTGTGGAAGTAATCGGAGTTGTCACAGTAGATAAGGCAGGGCTGTCCTAGAGTGTCCGCCTCATGTGACAGCCTGTAACATAGCCTGTGAGAGGGCAGCGGCCCCCTTTGTCCGCGCAACAAAGGCCGGCCCTGCAAACTTGCCAACTACACAGAGCGGCGAGCGGAAGGTGGGAGGGGGGGGAGGGAGGGGGATGGGGGGTCCGCACAGGCGAGGAAGTCGGCCGGGAGAATGAAAAGGACGCTCCAAAAGAAGTGGAGGCGGCCTGTTTACCCACAGAGTCAAGCCCTGTTCGGGACTTTTCATTTCCTGTCCTATCGGCGGCGCGCTCTGTTCTTGCAGCGGCGCTTGTTCCGACTTGAAAAAGGCGCCTCGACTCAAACCGGCCCGTTCCGAAAACGCCTCGGCTCCCGATTCACCTTGTTGATCTGCCGTTGTCCTGGACGGTGGTGTGTGCAAAGCGGGGGCGGCGACCCCGAGCGTCCCCAAAATGCCGGCTGGATTCGGGCGGCAGGGGCGGTCGGAAAATGTGCGGGAAAGCGGCCCCGCGGGCCCCGACTTGGACAGCCACCTTCGAGCTCGGTCACGGAACGGAACGCGTTGCCGATGCGCGTCTTCGCCTTTGAGCTTGCCAGGCAAGCGAGCCAGCGGCTTTGGTTCCAGAGCTGAGCGGCTCCGACCTTTGCCGGCCGCTTAGCTTGCTTGTTAGCCCGCTCATCAGCCAATTTTAGGAGCGTTTCGGGGCCAAAGCTGGCTTGAGTTCCATGCGCTCGACTCCCAAATGGGAAGTGCTTTTTCTTGGTGTTTGCGAAGTGGCATCACCTCAGTCGAGCGCGAGCCCCGGTGTCTCCCCAAATGCACGATTCGGTGTTGACGCTCGCTCTTCCCGTCCGTCTGGGGCCTCGGCTCTTCTCACCGGATCTGCCGCTCCCTTTGGCCGCCGTCTGAAGGCAAGCTGGTCTTTTGCTTCCACCGCTACGCGCACGACTGTGAGCGAAAAAGACACTTTCTCACTCTTATCCTATTTGGGAGAAAAACCAAAACCCGGACGCCACGGAATTTCATCCATTTGCATGAAAAGAAGACAGAAGTGACGGCGTTTGGTCCCAGTGGCCCTTTGTCCATCCCATCCTGCGGACTTGGGCCCCTTGGCTCCTTGTCTCCTTCGCAGTCTCCACCTTGGGGCTTAAACCGAACAGCGATTTGAAATGGGGGGCCGTTGTCAAATGCAGCTTCTTTCATCTGAGGCAGCTGGCTAACTAACGTCAAGCCTTTCCGGCGATGCGGTCCTTCATGCCTTCGTCGCGTCTCGGCTGGATGACTCGAACGCACTTGACCGTGGGGTCAGCCGATCCTCCATCAAGCGTCTCCGGTCGGTCCGGAATGCCGCCGCTCGCCTCGTGACGGCGACTCGTACATGGAGAGGGAGCGCGTCACTCCGACTGTGGCGTCCCTTTTTTTTGAAGCCTTCTTTTGAAGATCCTTGCATTACTTTCCAAGTCTTGAAATGTCCTGAGAGACCCGAGCGGATGCTCCGAGGGGACGGCGCCTTCTCCGTTGCCGCTCCCTCCCTTTGAAATGAACGTTCTCGGCAAGGCCCATCGATCAAACTCGTCATTGTTTGGACTCCGCATGAGACTTGAGTTTTAGTTGGCCTGTTTTTGTGCTTTCCGCCGTCATCGTTTGTTGTTGTGTGACTTCTTTATGCTCCATAAAGAACACTTTGTCGACAGGCGCTGGTGGTTTGAAAGTGCTTGAGAAATACGCCGGACTCAAGTTGAGTCTTCTTTCTCCTGATCAAATAGATGACATTGTTGAGCAGGTGCTGATCCGATCAGATCACGGCGATCATGGCGGAGCGGTTCCCACAACATACGGCTCGGAAAAAAAAAAAACTTTTGCTCATGGGTGAGGTCATTTGAGGAACAACTTTTTAATTTTGTGGAGTCATTTGCTGCAGCTTCCTCCCACCATCCCAGCCGTCGTCGGGCAGTGGGCGGGGGACACCCTGAACCGCTTGCCAGCGGTCAAGCAGTCGATTGCAAAGCCGACACACACACACAAGGGAAGACTCCAACGTGCGTTCCGACACCAAAAGGCTCCGGCGAAACATCTGATTTTGACTGACATGCAAAAGGCTCCGCAGCGGCAAACGAAAATGAGCATCAAGGTTACTTGGACTCGCTTGGATACTGCGGCGGCTCGTTTCCGCTTGGAGTCTTTTCACGACGGGTTCCCAAATCCCGCATGAGAGGCCGAAGCGAGACCGGCACACAGGCGGCGGGTGTTTGCCAAGCCTGCAGTCGTCCAATTAAACAACATTTGTCAGCGCGCACATCAGACTCACACACACACACGCACTCTCTCTCGCCGCTCGACAAGGGCGGGCGTATGAATTTGCTCGGCTCGCACACCTCGGGGGGACCGAGACGTGCGAGCGTGCCGGTCTAAGCTCTGGCGAAACCCACTGCGAGGGTCACCACCTTTACAGAATCTGCGCCTCGGCATGTCAGGCCTAATGGCGGGGCCCCACTCGCTGCACAGGCAGAACGACGACGACGATGACGATGACGAGGAGGAGGAAGGAAGGGTGCCAAAAATCAAGACAAAGCGTCGGCGAGAACGGAGAGCAGCTCAAGATCCCAGCGGTCGAGACTTGGGAGTGCAGCGTCCGTCCCGCCCACCCAAGATTGTAAATACAGTATTTGTCAGCCCCCCCGCATCATTTTGAAATTATTTTGTTTGGGGGGTGTGGATGTTTTAAATTCACTTTGTTTGAATTGCAGCAGGTCTGTTTGCGTTGATTCATTTTTTAATTTGTCAAAATGGTCTTATTTGAGTTTTTATTCGTTTGACTCTTTGTTTGATTTATTCATTTTGGGGGGGGGGATTGTTCGCAATACGTCCATCAACGTTTTCTGTTGACACCCGGCCCGAATTGGTCTTATGAGGATTCCGGCAATTTGTCTTTCAGCCCGCACACTCGTTTGAACATCGGCAAAGAAAAGTCAATGACCGTGACCAAGAACTCGAAGGCCGCTTTCAAACGTTGTCGCCGTCACTCAAAGGCGCGCCATGATGTGACACGACGCGCTGACTGCACTCCTTTTTTCTTTCTGCGGGTTGCAATCATTTCATGACAAAAGTAGCCATCATTACATCCGCGCTTTGCAAGACCGATAAGCCATTAAAATTGCATAACACAGTCACAAGTGTGACGTGTGTGCGTGTGTGCGTGTGTGTGTGTGTGTGTGGCAGCTCTACTCTGAGGCGAGGAGAGCAGCGAGCCAACGGGGACAAATTTCAAAAAGTATCTTCCTTCCTTCCGCTCATTTTTTTCTTTTTTGGGAGGGGGTCGGGTGGAGAAATTGGGTCTCTTGCCGTTGCGGAATGGCAACAGGTGGCAGACGGCAGAGTTCGAGTGACACCTACAGAGCCGACTGCAGAACGGAATGAGACTCGGGCTTTTCTTTTCTTTTGAAATGGAGACCGAGGAAATGTGCTTTGGCGCCGACGCTTCTTTGCAGATCATCTGCGCATTCTGGCACGCAACGTACCTTGAAATTTCGCCAACGAGCTTCGACATGTCCGATCCCCAGCAGATTTCACCGTCCAAACCGTTTCGAATGATCGGCCGAATGTTGTTTTCTGTTCCTTTTCCGGGCCGGCCGACGTCAGGTCGGGCGTCCAGACGAGCGGCCGTCATCCGAAAAGACGCAGCCGTTTTGTTTCGGGCGTCTACAATCGAGGGAAAAAAAAAAAGCCAGAAGCCAAAGCTTAGACGGCGTTCGTTTAGTTTCTCGCTATGTGAGAAAACAATTGGCCGGTCTTCATTTCGCATCGGACGCGGCTGGTCGGGCGCTCGCCGGCTCGGGCACGATTGGGTCGGGTCGGGTCGCGGTCAAAGCAAGTGCGACGCCGATGGAAGCCGACGGTCGCTTGAGACGTCACAGGAACACACTTGAACCGGAAGCATTCCTGACTTGGGTTCGGCAAACCTCCGGCATCGCTCACGCAAGAAATTGAAGGAAGCTACCTACCAACTCTCGATTCAGAAGTACACAAACGCCACATTTTTGTTTTTCTTGCCAAGAATCGTTGACCCTTCGTTTGAATGTGATTTTATTTTTTTGCATGACAGCCCTTTGCGGAGGGGGGGGGGTGCTTTTTCTTTGAAGGATTGATCTTTTCTACATGTATTTGAGCAGGAAATTTATGATGATACTGTGAGACGCTTTGATTAAAAAAAAAAAAAAAAAAAAAGAGAGAGATGTGCACATATTCTGTCCAGATTTTTAAATGGCATTTTTGTTCTCCGAATCTGAAGCGATGATCCTCAGTCGGAAAAGGGCGGAGTCCCCTCTCCGGGTCCGGGATGAGATCTCGCCCCAAGCGGAGGAGGATTTTGCTCACGCGTGGGGGCAGGAGGGAGCGCCAAGTCGACAGGCGGACCGGCGCGGCGTCGGCTGCGATGCGGACTTTGTGCCGGCCTGTCGTGGTGAAGAAGTGGCCGAGCCAAAAGGAGAAGCTCTCCATTTAGCGGGTCCATCGAAGCAGCTCCCCGAAGAACGAGCGGGTACGAGCGGGGAAAAGGAGTTTCCCCCGCAGGGCGTTGTGGCTCTCGCTTCGAGAAAGGGTGAGAAGCTTCGTCATCGGGGGAGTCGAGCGGCCGCTCGTCCGCATCGAGAGAAGCCAGATGAGGGGGCTCGGGCGTCGGATAAGGACACTCGGCGCGGCGCGCGTGAATCCTCCGGCGCCCGCTCGCAGACGAGCGCAGCTCTTCCGGGCAGGAGGCGATTGCTGATCGGCTGCAGGTGCGCGAGCCGAATGGATCCGTTTGCGACCAGCAGGTGGCACTGGCGGGCTCCGCCTGCCTGCAGCTGCGCACCTGTTGCTCATTGTGTGCTGAGTTGTCACTTTCAAAGACTTGCCGCTCGACCGCTCGCTCGCTGGTGCCGTCGCCGCTTCTGTTGCTTTGTGTTTATCACGTCATCTTTTTTTTTTTTTTTTGCTTCTGCCGTGGCTTTGAATTCTTGTTTGTTTTCAGGACTTTGCTCGTTTTGGATTCGCTTTGCTCGGTGTTTTGATGAATGCATCTTGTCAAGCTCACCCTGCTCCTTCCGAGCTGCCTGCTTTTTGGCTTCCGCCACCGACCGTGACCGGGGCACCCTCCAGGTCATGAAAGGAAAAAGACACAGAAGGTGCCCGGACGTGGACTCTCCAAAATAAAAGCACAGAAGGAAGAGGGTCTGTGACAACACATCACACTCTCCCCTTTTCGGCATTGGTTCGGTGTGGCCAAAGGTGGCAGTGAGCATTTGGGGGGAAGAGACTTCTTTCTTTTCAAAGTGTCCATTCCTTTGGGAATACGGTGGCCTATTTCTTCGTCAAGGACGCGCATCAACTTGATGCGGTAAGATCCGGTTTGAAGGCTCATCAGGGAAATCTGTCGGAGATCGATATCCATGATGGAGAGCGACCTCTCAACGTATTTCATGAGGTCGTGGCCGGCGCAAGAGTAGCGACGATGACGAAGATGATTCCCAAGCAGCGTGTGAACGGCGACTCCGGCGCAGTCGCCAGCAGGCCGGCCGTGTCTGCGAGAGGCGCCGCTGTCAAAAAGTTTCTCTCCTCTCCTCTCCCCGCTCTCTCTCTCAGGCATCCTCCCGCGTCATTTCCCAGGAAGGCGGATCCCGTCCGCCACCATCTTGCCTAATGACTCGAGCGACGTCTATCATCGAGCCGAGCCAGCCGGCCTCCCGTTGACCTTTTCCGTCGGCTGTTTTAAGGCCCCGATAATCCAATCACGCAGCCGTCGCTGAGCCGTCGCAGGCCGGTTTCTTTCACGCCTTGAAAAATCTCCGCGCTCACGTGTTTTCACGGCAGACGGCATTGCCGTGTCAGCCGGGCGCGTCTCCGGGAAAGAGAATTCAAGCAAACGTTCCACGGGCACCTCTCAACGTGGAGGAGTGGCGGCTCGGCTCCGAGTCCCTCCCGGATGAGCCAGCTTCTCACCCTGGCACCCTTTCCCGCACAAGGAAACTCATTTCGGTCACCGGTGTCCGGGATCTCGTCCCTCCGCTCGCGACCCGCGGCTCTTGAGCGTCGGTTGAAAGTAGGATGGCCGCAAACTGAAACAATGGCGGCGCTCTTTTGAATGGCACATTTGGGCCGCGCGTTGAGAGGGGACGCCTCGGCCTAGCAGGTGTGATGGCGCGCCGCCCGGCGCTTTGTCATCCGTTCGCACCTCCGGACGGCCGGGCGCGACAAGGCGCGACAAGCCGCACCAGCGGACGCCGGCGCCGGCTGACCTCGGGCCGCCCGCGACCAAAGGCGAGGTACGGGGGAGGCACGCGCCGCCTCTCAGCGTCGCAGAGGAGAGGATGTCGCGAGACAGCGTGCGGGGGCTCGGGCAAGAGGCGTGGAAAATAGCACCCGACGGCGAGCGAGGTCCGGAATGCGACGGAGGCTCGGCATCTCGGCACTTCTTAAATTGTGGACCGGGAACAAGAACACGGGGGAGCCCTCCGCTCCGGCTGCTGCTCAAACCAAACCCAAAAAACACAGACGGAGTCAAACCACGACACAGGGGGTGGGTGGGGTTGGGGGGGGTGCGAGACAGCGTGCGGGGGCTCGGGCAAGAGGCGTGGAAAATAGCACCCGACGGCGAGCGAGGTCCGGAATGCGACGGAGGCTCGGCATCTCGGCACTTCTTAAATTGTGGACCGGGAACAAGAACACGGGGGAGCCCTCCGCTCCGGCTGCTGCTCAAACCAAACCCAAAAAACACAGACGGAGTCAAACCACGACACAGGGGGTGGGTGGGGTTGGGGGGGGTGCCTGTGCCTTTGATGTGGAAAGACGTCACTCGCTCGGGTGGTGGGAGTGCATT